GCCTCTCAAACCTTTTAATAAACTTGATGATCCAGGAAAAAAAATATCAATCTTCTTTTCAGAAACTGTTTCTCTACCTTAGTGGATGTTAAATATTTCTGGTGTGGGACTTTCTGAAGTCCTGGGTGGGCTTCTACTAGAAAAGCAGTTGGGAGAGAGAAGGGAAAGGAAGGGGAAGAAACAGGGGGGGAAAGGAAGGGGTAGGAGAGAGAAATACCAGTGTTACCCAAATCCTGGGTTACTACTGAGAAGAAAGCTGAAATTTGGGTGAACACCTTTCCTCAACTGTAATAGAGTGCTAATAGGGTGTGAAAGAGAAAGACTGAGGTGCAAAGGAACAGTGATGATGGAGAAGGTGAGAGGAGTGGGAAGGGGTGAACTCTCAACCTATTGCTTCACAATGGTGGTGACACTGATAAAAACGTGTTTATGAGCCCTGCTGTGTCATCTTCTCCCAACTCCTTTGGGAACCCCTTCAAAATCCTATTTAATAACACTTAAGAAACACCCCCTCTAAATCAGACAGACCAAAGAATCCAGGCTTTTTATTCCCCATGACAAGATGAAGAAGGCTAAGCATAATCAGAGACAGGGTGAACATTCATCCTAGGTTTTCTCCAAACATTTCTGACTTGAGATATTCTGTCCTATTGATCCCATGAGCACACATAACCCTTTCAGTTCATGTGCCCAGACTGTTGGTTAGACAATAAACTGGTGATAGAAATGCTCAGGGACATGAATGATTCCAAAACACTTTTAGTTCATTGGTCCTTTGCTCCAGATCATGTCAATCCTCTTCCTGGAACTTTCCAGGGACTTGCAGTGGGTCCGGAAGGAAATCTAAAATCCTTGCCATACTCCTCAAGCCCCTATAGAATCGGATCCTTACCTCCTCTCCCCTTGATTCACCACCTTCCAGTCCCATTGGCCCGCTTTCTTTTCTGTGAACATGCTGAGTTTATTCCTGCCTCAGAGCCTTGGCCTTTGTTCTTACCCCTGTCGAGAATGTGTTTGACATCAAGTTTTCATGGGCTTCTTCTCCTGGTTCAGATCTTGATTAAAACTCCCATATTCTCGGGATGTCACCCCTAACAATATTGCCTAAACTAGCACTACCCCCGACCCTAATATCTTCTTGGGCATGGCCCTTTTAAATCACCTTCATGGCATTTACTATCCTATATAATAAAAGCCTAATATGCTAAGTGGCGGGTCATCCTGTAATTTGTTCATCCAATCAAAATGTAATGTGTTAGCCGAAACCGGTTTGGCTCAGTGGATAGAGCGTCAGCCTGCGGAGTAAAAGGTCCCAGTTTCGATTCCGGTCAAGGGTATGTACCTGGGTTGCGGGCACATCCCCAGTGGGAGATGTGCATGAGGCAGCTGATCGGTGTTTCTCTCTCATTGATGTTTCTAACTCTCTATC